GGAGGAGGAAAGGAACCGAATACGCTTTCCCTTCTGTTCTTCGGAAAAGGAAAGCTTATTGAGGAAAAGAACTAGTTATGTTGTAACATTGTAATGAATACATACGACAGTGTTGGAACCGAATACGGTTCACTTCTTCATATTCTCCAGAAATTCTCTCTCTCACAAACTTCTGTCTTCATCAACCACTTCGTTTTTTTTTTTTTTTTGTCTTCGGCTCAATCCGCTGCGACATTTAAACATTATCTTCGTCATTCTACCACCAAACCCTTGCAACGTAAAAAAAAAAAAAAAAAAAAAAAAATAAAAAACCTAATAAAATATTTCTATAAACTTCCCTAAACAATACAATTCATACGAACTTTGCTTTCTCTCTTCCTCCGCACTCAACGCAACCCAAACAATCACAAACCTAATAACTAAAACACTTTTGTAGACAAAGTCCTTTCGTTCACTTGCCACAACACACTGCTCCAACTCCACTTCTGCCGCAATATTTATTTAAGGACAAAACAACCCCAAAACCCAACCACATAATTTAATGCTTTTCTTCGGGTTGGTGGCAAAGTGATTCAAATGATTCAAAAATGTCTTGTGTGGTTTAATGTGAGTATAATGGCGAATCTTTCTTTCCCTTAGGCAAATTGCCGTGTTGTGTGATGAATGAAAAAACAACTCATATCAAAGGGGCCCTCAAGACAGAATCTCTCATTAACAACATTCACTTTAATCTCTCAAACAACATTCACTTTCACTTTTAGTTAACTCCTCTCATTGAGTGCCACAGTGTTGTGCACCGCATTCTTTTCTTATTGTTATAATGGTTGGAATCATTGGAATTGGAAGAAATCGATTTTGTTTTAGGTAGATAGAAATATATTAAACATACGAAGATTGGTTTTAGTAGGTGGAATTTATATTATATAGGGACACATGAGACTTTTTTCCTTGGATCCCTCCAAATCTCGGTCTCCTTTCGTGGGTGATTTTAAAAAGTAAGTTACCGAATCCTTGCAATTCACCTGACATCGTTTCATTTTTGTTTTGCGCAAATAGCTTGCAAGGTGAAACGGGGTCTTTGTCTTCCATTCATCGCTTCGGAAAAATGTGGGGGTAAAACAAAACTCACCCTCAGTGAACACAGCGTTATTTTATTTTTTTTTGTTTTTTTTTTTTTTTAAATTTTTTTTTTATATTGAAAGACCCCTTTTCACAATCACCAATTTGTATAATTTATAACTATATAAAAAAAATGTAATAATAAATTAATCAATAAATATATTTAGTTTGTGATTAGTAAAGTGTTACATTTTTTTAGTTTTTTAGAAAATGGTATATTATATAAATTTATAAATTGATTATTAGATTTTTGTTTGTTTAAATAAAAGAAATAAAAAATTAGAGAAAAAAAGAAAAAAAATTTTACTTATATAATTTATAAAGAATATATTAAATAAATTATTTATAAAAAAATAATTAGTGTGTTATTAAATTACAAAATTAATGTTACAAAAATTAAAGTTTAACATATAAAAAATATAATATAATAAACCATGAACTTTTATGATTTTATCTATAGATTTTGAATATTTGTATTTATTTAGAATAGAGATCCTTCAAGTAAAAATTAGATATATGTTGAAAAATTATGAATATTAATAATAGTTTTTTTGTGAATGAAAATATTTAGGCTTAATATTTATAATTTTTGTTCTAGATTTGTTGTGTGGACTCATTTCTTTCGAAAATGTTAAATACAAATCATTAATTTTGTAATGATGGTCAATTTATTTGAGTTTTTTTTTTCGATGACGCCGTTTTTTTTTATTTTTTTTTTTGTTTTTTAGTTTTTTTTTTTTTATGTTTTTTGTTTTTTTTTAAATTTGCTAACTGCATAATATTTCATTGTAAAAAAAATGGAAAAAAATAAAAATAATATAAAAAATTAAAAATGACCTCCTATCACGCATTCTCAACCCAAATTATCACCATCTTCTCCAAAATCAAAATGCAATTAATTTTTCATTTTCTTTAATCAGTGCACGCCGTTACCGTACATCATACTCAGGCCAATTCATCTTCCCACGTCGTCGGACCCACCATGAGTTTCGCCCTTAGCAACTGCACAAGCCACCACGAATCAACCAAGGAAAGAATAAGGGAAAGAGGAAGGGGAGAGAGGAAAAGGAAAAGGGAGGAGGAAGAAAGGAGGGAAAGGGGAGAAGAAGAAAAGAAGAGGAAAAACACAATATGCAAACGAAACTTTTCGCTACAACGGACATCAGACCTCTAAACCACGAGGCCCAAATTGTTTTAGCACTGTGAGAAAGAACCACCATCTTACCTTAATCTTCTCCACCGTATGAACTATGACTACTATCTTAAAGAATTCCAACTTCACGAAAAGAAAACCCTGTGGTCGTTTAAAGTGAAACCAAAAAAAAAATCAATTTTTTTTATTTATTTTTTATTTTTTAATTTAAAATGTAAAAACCACTGATGAACTCTTTCAGGGAAAAACCCAAAAATCCAAAACCATTGAAACCTGCGGAAAAGAAAGAAAACACCCAAATTCCCAAAACTTGCTTCGAAACATTAACCTTTTTTCTTCGCCGTCGTTAAAACAATCACGCACTATTTTTGAACCAAACCTATAACTAGCGCAAATTGGCGTTGAACTCCTTAATTCGAAAAAGCAGAGATGAGAGATCTTTTATTCGCAAATAGGGTTTTGCGCAAACCTACCCTATATCCTCTTCTCGTGCAACCATACTCTTTATCGTACAAAAAGTTTAGGGGGATTTTTTGATTTGGGGAAAGAAGATTTTGGATGTTTAAGAAAGGAAGGAGGATGTGATGTTGGGATTTGATGACAGGCGGAGGGGGATTGATGAGATGATGATGTTTAGTCCCAACTACGTAAGCCATTTATTTTATTTTTGTGACAACTATTTTGGTTTTTGTTATGTGAAAGTTGTTAATTAACGTTTAATTATTTTTTTTTGATTTTAAACGTCGCCAAGCGAAAAAAAAAAAAAAAAAAAAAAAAAAAAAAAAAAAAAAAAAAAAAAAAAAAAAAAAAAAAAAAAAAAAAAAAACAAAATTATTAAATTTTATTTTTTGATTTTTTAATTAAAACATAATTAAATTATGGTGAAAATACATTGAACATTTTAATATTTTAAAAAAAAACCAAATAAGTTTCATATATATTTAAACAAATTCACAAAGATAAAAAAAAAAATGATATTTTATTTAAGCCAAATAATTATTATTTTATGACCCATTTACGGGTTCGGAGGGGAATGAGAGGGATAAATTTTATAATCACTCAACAATACACTGCCTTTTTTTTTATTTCTTTTTTTTTTATTTTTTTTTTAATTAAAACTAATTCTCACAAATTTATAAAACATGTTTTAGTTTAATTTGAAAATTAATAGTTGTTTTTATTTTTTTAATCATAACATAAATATAAATTAAAATTAATTATCAACTGTGTGAAAATCTGTATTGCTTACTTTAAAATTTAAATGATAAAGATGTATTCTTTTGAACCAAGTGATAACACAAAATTTCTTTTAGTCGTAATTATTTTAAAACCTATCACCAAGCAAATAAGAATATCACGATATCTTTCATTCATCATTCTTAACAAAAGAATTCAAATTAAATTTTTATAAAAAATCAGCAGTATGTTTCGATTGAGTAATATTAATCTTTAAAATATGTTTAGATTTTTTTTTGTCACAACAAACAATACGTTTTTTAATTATTTAATGATATATCATGTTAATATCGATAAGGAATGAAATTTAAAATTAAACTTAAACAAAAAAAATGTTAATTATATGACCACCATTTTAAGAAAAAATTATCACATACTTAAAACAAAGATTGATCATCCAAAACTTATTCAAGATATATAAATATAAAAGTTTATTGAAAGTGGAGTCAGTTGCTATCAAAACTGGTTTAATTCAATTTAAATAATCCGATTTTCAGGTTTTTTTTATCAGATCAGTTTTCTTCGTTCTTATGATTTTTAAAATCAATATTTTCAGTTGTCATTAGTTTATTCGGCTAATAAACACTTCTACAGTGAGACTCAACTTTGCTTACAAGAGAAAATAGGAAATGATTGGCATTAGTTTGGCACTTACGCTACCCAATTTTGCATTCAAGAGAAAAATGTATTAATAAAGTCGTATAGTGGTATTTCTAGTCCTTAGTTTAAGGACTACAATGAATGAAAGGTATAAATTTAAGAACTAAAATAATATTAAATTGTAATTTCATAGAACAAAATCGCATCCAATTATATCTTAGGAATACAGATGAAATTATCTTTACATTTGAAGAATTCATTAATTTACCGCCATAAATATTGTTAATTCAATTATACTTTGGCCTTTATTGATAATGTTGTGCCCCGGTGATAATGTATTATGGTTGAACTTCCTTTAATGCCAGTTAAAAGTTGAACTACCTAACAGAAGTGACAATAAGAATGTTAGCTATTTCTAACAAAGAATTGTTTATTCATCGGTATATGTTGACATCGAATGATAATAATAACATCAAATTAGTTATTTACTCGTATTGTAATAGTATAAAAACCTGGTGCAGAAACAGATTTTTGTAGGATCACATGAAGGATTGCTAACAACTTTCACATAGGCATCCCAATATTCACGAGGGTGTCATCATTGATTCAAAACATAACTACAAAAACATACACCCAAGATACAAAAGCAGGTAACGAATGTTAGTTCAGTTTGCCATTACAATTAGTAATTTCGACCAATCTAGTCTTCTGCGGCATCTTCGATTTCTTCATCCTCTGGGACTCCTCGAAGGTAGAGAACATTGTTACATCTAGAAATGCAAACAATGAAATAAGACAACAAGTTTCCAATAAATAAACATTAAGAGAGAAAGAGGACAAGTTTTTGATGGCACAAAGAAGGGACAGATCGAACATTAAGAGCAAANACGAATGATAATAATAACATCAAATTAGTTATTTACTCGTATTGTAATAGTATAAAAACCTGGTGCAGAAACAGATTTTTGTAGGATCACATGAAGGATTGCTAACAACTTTCACATAGGCATCCCAATATTCACGAGGGTGTCATCATTGATTCAAAACATAACTACAAAAACATACACCCAAGATACAAAAGCAGGTAACGAATGTTAGTTCAGTTTGCCATTACAATTAGTAATTTCGACCAATCTAGTCTTCTGCGGCATCTTCGATTTCTTCATCCTCTGGGACTCCTCGAAGGTAGAGAACATTGTTACATCTAGAAATGCAAACAATGAAATAAGACAACAAGTTTCCAATAAATAAACATTAAGAGAGAAAGAGGACAAGTTTTTGATGGCACAAAGAAGGGACAGATCGAACATTAAGAGCAAAAACGAAGATTGATGAGAATAAGAGGACAAGTTTACAAGAAATAACTAAAAAAAATGAGAATAAGACAAAGAAGTTAAAAAAAAAGAATAAAAAAATAAAAACTAGCAAGCTGCAGCATTGATTGCCTGAGAATATCATCAGAGGGTCACATAGTGATTGCCAGAGAGTTGCATTGGGTTTGTGCAACAGTCGCAAGGTAGAAGAGAAGACAAGTGAGGTATATAGTAATAAACTTTGAAAGAGTTTTCTACAAGCTGAAACCATTTCAGTACCTCAAAATTAAATCAAAAATATCTCCATCATATATCCTTCTGATACAGTGAAATGTAACACGACGGCAGTGCATATAGTGTGGCTAGGGCAACTACACCTCTATAGCATGCTACTATTGAAAAATATTTATAGTTCCACCATATATATGAATACAATCACATGATATGGGTAAAACGCAGGATAAAGAAAGACTACAAAGCACAAAATTAACTTTTATGCAGCACATTATGAAAGTGAATTGCAGGGAAGATATGCTTTGCTGGGAAGATATGTCATAGAGCTGTGGCAGAAATACACCATTATATATATATATATATATATATATATGTATATATATATATATATATATATGTATATATATGTATATATATACATATATATGTATATATATGTATATAGCAATCACTATATGTCGAAATACAGCAATTATAGGAAATATTCATACTATACATATAAAAAAGGATGAGATATTCTACATATAGGAATATCTAACTTTCAATTTTAAACAATCGCTTTTGCTTTTGCTCATTGTAAACAAACAGTAACTGGAGCAATGTTTATGGCTGCGTAATCTGGTGTCGGGGACTCGGTGAGTAGATTTAGATTGGATTATATACTTGGGTTTAACTTCTTCAACACGATGAACACAATATTTTGTTACTTTATTAGATTATTTTGCAACCTTTTGCAATGAATAAATCCGATTTGTATGTGTTGACATGAATATTAATTAACTTAACCTCATGTTACTGTCTGAGCAACCAAATATCAAGTAAGAAAACTAATCCTCTTTTATAGTTATATCAGAAAGATTTTTTTTTACAATATCTAAAAAATATCATGTCAAAATCGCTTTTAAATATATAATTTACAATATAAATTAAATTAGTGAAACCCACTTCTAATCAAAATCAATTCTACAGACTATAACTCATCTAACCAAAAATGTTCTTCACTCAAATCATAATTATGGATTTCCACTGCATCTGTATCCACTATACCAACTTGAGCAGATCTTATGCTGCGCTGAATATTAGCGAAAAAGAAATTTTCTACAGAACAAAATGATCTTAATTAGGGAGAAAGATGTGAATAGATATACGGGCAAAGATTTTCTCCAAACGAAACTCGAATCATGAAACGTACTAAAAATAAGTGGTCATTGAAGTCTTCTTCAGGAGTTGGCTCCCCATTTCCCTATCAGCTCTATTTTTACCATCAAATTCAATTCCAACCACTAAAACAAATCAATCAATTGAAAGCTAACAGCAAAACATATCTTCCCTGCAATTCATTTTCATAATGTGCTGCATAAATGCTTTGCAGGTCCTCGTGACTTGACTCTAGAGTCTAACATGGCTCGCTCGCTTTTGTATGTTTGAACAATTTCTAATTCTCAATAAAATCAACAAAATCGAAAGGGGTCTAACAACACCCTTATGTAATAGCAAAACACAATAACCACTAGACATAAAGAATAGTTAATGTGGAATTTACCTGATTAAAATTTCTCCCAAATTTCCAGTAAACTGTCCCTCAATATACTCCTCAGTGTTTGCTAGCTACAGAGAAATTTTCAGATATAAAGAAATTAAATATATATATATATATATATATATATATATATATAGGTTTAATAGCCAATTTAGTCCCCACTTTGGTTGAAAAATCTCAATTTAGTCCCTCGTTATAAAAGTGTTTTACATTAGTCCTAACTTTTAAAATAGTGGGTCAGATTGGTCCCTTTCGTGTTAACGAAATTAATGGATGATGATATGACACAGCTTAAAGCTGATGTGTTAGATTGGTCCCTCGTTAGCTTTAAGTTGTGTCACATCATCATCCATTAATTTTGTTAACTTATATTTAACAGAAAGGACTATCTGACCCACTATTTTAAAAGTTAGGACTAATTCAAAACACTTTTATAACGAGGGACAAATTGAGATTTTCAACCAAGCGGAGGGGACTAAATTGGCTATTAAAACCTATAGTATATAAATATATATATATATATATATATTATATATATATATACTAAACAAGAGGCTTAAAGTTAGTGTATGGGAACAAAAACACATCAGAATTTAACTTAAATATATACCTGCAAATTCATATACGAATCAACAGAAACGAGATACCCTGAAAAAAGACACAGTGAAGACATAAACAAAATGAAATTGAAGCAGTGATTGACCACCTAAGGAATAAAAACCGAAACGAAGCGTTTAGCAGTGAAATAAGAATAGCTAAAACGATCCCTAAAAAAGCACCATACCCTTGTACTCCATTCCCCACTTGAGTTTCACAATTACTGGTTTCCCGGTCAAATTATTCAAAAAAGGCTTGGGATTAACTGGTATAGCCTGCAAAAGACGAGGTAAAAAAGAAACTTTAACGAATTAGAAAATAAGAGACAATCCATCAGACACTGTGATCTTCTATACTCAACCAACATTGGCTTAGAGGCAGAAGCAAAGGGAAAATTGAAATTACTCAATTATGGAGATGCGGTTATGCGAATGAAAAGCATGGAAGATGATGAGCGAGAGAGGGAGCGAGAAGAAGGTACTCACAGCCATAGTAGAATGTTTGCTATGTGCTCTACGAGAACCCAATGGCAAAAACCTGTTACTGTGAAGTAGCAGAGGGCAAAAACTGAAAAGTAGGGTTTTGTTTCCCGGGCCAGGCCTTTTTTAGCAGGCCAGTGGGCTTATACATGTTCTTTTCTTTCACGGCTATTGTTTCCTGCACGTCCTTATTTGCTACATGGACCTCCTTATGTAATCCAAAAGGTCGGTTTTTGAATTTAACCCTACCCCTTAACTGCTTCCTTTTCATCTCCATTGTCATCTTCATCACCATCGTCTTCACCATCAGCACCATCGTCTTCACCATCAGCACCATCGTCTTCATTTGTGCATTTCCGTCATCATCATTTTCGTTCATCATACTCACCCATTACCATCACTTTTTTCTTTCTCACGGTCAACCATCCATCCATCTTTTCTCCATTGACACTCAACAACAGACACCATACAGTAACTTCATCACATTACAAACAACAGTCTCCATATCCTTTCGTTCCACTCAAAATTATCCATCACTGCTCTTCGTCAATTCATCTTCATCTCCATTAATTTCCTCCAACACATCACAGATACATCTTCATGGCCATCAACCCTTCACATCTTCCAGCCACCTCCCCATCATAGCCCCTCGCTTTCTTTCTTCTCAACCTCATCACTAACTTTTCTCCTTCAATCACCAACCTTCACTTCACCCAGATTCTAAAAAAAAAGTAGAAAAAAAAACAGGAAAAAACATGGTGGGTGCATCCTCAACAAAGACAGACAATAAAGTGGTTAGAAATTATGGTAATTTTTTATGTTGGAATAAATGCTCTGCAATAGCAGCCTATCCACCTTCTTTCTCATCTTCTTTTCTTCTTCCATTGTTTGTTCAATCACGTTACATTTTTTTACTATTCATCCACATACAGGTACTCGTGTATTTTTTTTTTGTTAATGGGTTAACACCGTTGTCCTTTCTTTCTTTCAACGGAGAGGACACCCTTAATTAACCTCATTTAGTTTAGATTTACACAAGTTAGAGTTAAAGAAAAGCAAGAAATGCAAAAGTGTAGAAACAATAACTGTACACACTGCGTATAAGGAACACATGCACCATAAAACAGAACATACAGAACATATAGATGCTGCTATGCTAATGCACCAGTCTCTCTTAATGTACTCTCTTTGATATAAATCAATATACACATGTATGTGTTTTGATTTTTATGTTAAATATAAAGATATTAATTATAAGTTGTAACCATGCAAATAGATTGTGGCAAAATTAGGTTTGGATATTGAGAACATCACAGGCTATTATGTTCAAATCAAAGATATTTATTCGCATCTTCCTGAATGCATTCCTATAAGTGTTCTGCTCAAACCCTCACTGAATACTTTGCATTGGTAATAAATAGTATTAACTGTTCATGAATATCTCCTACAGCTCTTTGATTCTTGAATATGGGCAACGTCATTGAATCGCTTGCTTCGGGCTTAGGACAGGCATTTGGTAAACTGTTTAGTTCTCCAATTGAATTTCTTTCTGGAAAGTCTTGCAGGTAAGACGACGCAGGGTTATTCTACTCTCCTTATGATTCATGTATGTATTTTTTCACTTCCACTTCATGCTTGATATATTTGTCTCTGGATTTGTTCCAGCTCAGTGTGTGGACCAACATGGGATTTCATGTGCTATATCGAAAATTTTTGCATTGCCAATATCCTGAAATTAGCCATGGTATTTATGCTATCTTACATTGGTGAGTTCAACTGTTTGGTAGATTGCAGCATGGTCTGTTGCAGTGCTTGACACGAACCTGAAATTGGGTTTGTATGTTCTGTTTATTTGCAGTTCTGTTGTTCTTCTATCTGGTGCATAAATTGGGCATATGTGGATGTCTTTGCCGGTCTTCTTGCAAAATGACGTGGGCATGTTTCTCTTCGTGTTTCCATGTTTGGGAGTATTCTTGCACCTTCTTGTGTATTAAGCTACACAATATCAGGAGAACAAGGAGAATAAGAAGGGTCAGAGTGGACATGAAAAAAAAATTCTACTCAGGTGAAAGCCTTTCACACCATTTTCCATCACGTACAAAAATGAGCAGATCAATTTCGCGTAGTAGGGACTATAAAGCCTCCCACCTAAGGAAGTCTTTGAAACCAAGGAGACATCATGCTAGAGTTGAAATCAGTAGAGATCTTAGATGTAAAAGTAAAAGGAATCATAGTCTTGGAGAGCCCAGTTTCACAAGCAATGGCATTAAGCACGGCAATCACAGAGGCACAATCAATGACATAAAGGTAATCCATACATCTAAGTTTACAAGAAAAGGTATATCTAGGAGGAATAGAGTTCTGCCGAGGCAGAGAAGGCAGAATCTTAGTTGAGGGTTCTTATGCGAACCACTTTCTCGCTGTATGTTTCTGATTTGTCAGGATGAAAAACAAAAAAATGGAATATACGAGAATCTGGATGTTAAGAATTTATTCTTGGGTTTGTAAGGTATTGTAAATATCCAGTTGTAAGATATTGCAAATATTGTAAAATATATCATTTTGTGTTCCAAATGGATGAATCAACTGCGTAAGAAGAAGCTTATATATACATTATGAATTCCCTCTCTTGCACCATTTATGTACACACGTGATTTTACGTATTTCTGCATCAGGCTTGGCAGTTAAAGATTGTCTACTTTGGTTAATAAACAGGAGTGAAAAAGTTAGATTCTGTATAAGGTAGTGGAAGGTGCAGTCAGTGCAGTTGATGAGTTTATCTCGGTTTTCGATCAGAGTGAAGACAATTCACCAACGTTGCTTTGCTATGCATGGCATCTTTGTACTTGCAATGCGTGAGTAATATCATTGAGAAAGTGCTATTTATGTGCGTCCAATTTGGCTGAAGGGTATGACATAAAACAGAAAAAAGAAAAGGGATTACTGATTTGGGTTTGATACTTTTAATTAGGACAACAAAAAACCGTATCCAACAACAAATTCGAAATAAATGTGATACTTTTAAAAGTTTTGTCTTTTTCTTTGTATCTTGGGTGCTTTCAATTCTCTCACCATACATCGTCAATGCCTCTCAAACAAAGAATAATAATAAAGGTTAACAAAGTTCTGTTTCACTTAAGAGTTAAAGCCATAGTCAATTTAAATATATACTTTCCTTTCAATTTTTCAATTCTTAAAATAAACATTTAAACGTTCTAATATGGTTATGCTTTTGAAAGATGACAAACAAAGAAGTAATCTCCGTCAAAATGGCATGAAGTAGTATGGTTGCCGACTATTCACTACAGATCCACAATTATATGTTGGAATCATTGCATTTGCAAATTTGTGTAGATCTACAATTGAATCTCAGTTTAAAATCGATTCAAAATCTTGGTTCTTTCATGTACACATTTGGTTAGGTCAAAATAGATTAAAAAGGATATTATTCATTTATAAAATTAATTTAAATAGATATATGTAATTAAGAGATGTAAAATATTTTAATAATTTATTTAAATATTATATTTTACTAATATTAAAAAGTTAACTTCAAGTAATAAATTAATGATACAACCTTACAAAGAAGTCAGACATAATTTATTTTTATTGTGAGGGTTACTTCCTGCACCACCACAGTGCTCCTGGCACCTCTCTATTCCTATTTTACCTTTCGGTAATAATTAAACGGATTTGAATATGCATTAGATTCTTAAACGGATGTCAACATCCGTGAACGGATATCGACATCTGTTGAACAACAAACAGATGTCGACATCCGATTCAAAAATTTTTTTTATTGTATGAAGAAGTCACGAGAGAGGGGCATCAATCTCTAGATATATAGCATATTCTCATTAAGAAGTCACTCCATAGATAATGAGCATCAAGCCAATTTTCATTTATATTAACATCTGCCACATCTCACAAACGATTTCTCAACTCAATCGGAAATCACATGTGAAATCAAACTCTTTTTCCAAACATGCACTCCTTAATTCTTAGCAAGATATCATATAATATTAAGAGTAAGGCTTATCATAGGCAGGGATAAGTATTAGAACTGGTATCTTGGATAAAATCCAAAAAGGTGTTCACGTGCAGAGAGAGAAGGCAGCGGAGGCTTCCATGGTTCAGACATTAGCACCAACAAAATGATTTTATATATTTTTAAAAGCTAAGGTCATGGATACGGAAACATGGTTGAGCAGTAGAGATAATATATTTAGACCAGAAAAATGTGTTACGATACGAATAACTATTGTTATTAGTCATTCTCTTACAACTGAACTATTAAACTACTGCTACTAGTCATTATTTTAAAGTTGACAAGTTTTACATTAGTTAATTTTATTTTGTTGATACCAGTTTAAACACAACTCTTTGTGATACCAAAGAGTAGTTTGTGTGCAATTAGAAAAAGATAAAAGTGAAGGGTGTGTAGGGAGATTTAGAGTTTTAAAAAAGTAAATAAAATTAAATGGTACAAGTTAAATTAACCTAGAGTTTTTTTGGAACAAAAAAATAGTAAAAAGGTGTAGGAACACTTGGAGAGTGATGGAGGGAGCAACTCTCTTTTCTTGTTGAGAAATAGGACCCTTGGCCCAAATGTTCTGATCCAAGACTCCAATGAAAAAGACAAAAAAATAATACCTATAATTTTTTTAGGGCTTTATTGGGAAGTTAACTTATTTAGTATGCTATCGAATTATTTAAATTTAAATAATAAATAAGTTCTAAAAAGTTATAATTGAATTCTTGAAATTATAATATTATTCTAGTCGGGTTTCAGGTTGAGTTCTTGAAGCTATGAAATATTTGTAATTGTACACTATGATAGTAATTTACTATTGCAGAGAAATAGATACTAACTAAGGACATATCCGAGAAAAAAATTAATTAAACTTTGAAATTTTAAAACATTAAAAGTATTTAAAAAAAAAGACAAAAACTTCTAACGCATATTAATTTATTTGAACATTTTAAAAAGGTGGTCACTAGATTAAATTAATCAATACATTTTTAAGTTATCTGAGAAATTAAAAAAAAGTTTTAGTATTTTTAAAACTAGATTAGTAAAAACACTTATTTGAAATTTTTTTAGTTCAAAAGTAGTTGGATTAAAACAAATTCAATCACATTTTCAATATATAATATTTTAAGTGATAAAATAATTTAAATTAAAAAAAAATTTAGTTATAAAAGTTGTATAATTGACAAAATAGCATATATTTATGCGTAATCTCAAACATGGGTTCTTAGTTAGAAAGAAAAGTTAATATAATCGCAATGGCAAACCAATAATATGTATAATTTTATTAATTTTTATAATGATTATTTAAAAATGATATCAAAGATAATCTTTTATTGAATGAAATGTCATTCTTGACTATTAAATTCGCATTTGTATTTTTTTATTTTATTTTTTCCTTTTTTCTCATTTCTGGTATTAAATTACTTCTTATCATTTCAATGTAGTCTCTCTCTTTTTTTTAAAATTTAATGTAATCGTTTTTCGTCTAAATCAAACCCATGACAAAAGGAATATGTTAGAATCAAACAGAGCATCATCCTTAACGCCATTAGCATGGTAAAAGCAATATAGAATTTTTGTAGAGGATTAAAGGATCCATTCAACATTATCCAGAAATAAGAAAAAATTATTTCTATAAATAAATAAAAAACTATAATTAATTAAACTTTTTTACATGGAAATGAAAAAAAAAAGTGTTAACTATTAGGTGGCCAAACTTGTTCACACACGAGGCGTTAATTAGAATAATGAAGGTTTGATATGATATGAGAATGAGTTTACTATCAACGGCGCAATTTGCGATCACTCTTTTCACTCATCTTTTTCGTACGTCCCCACCCACACTCATCATTCTATTTTCACTCTCCTTTATTTTTCTCCTACAAACTAACATCTCAATTTCGATTTAAGTTTCCTAAAAAGAATTACTCTAACTTCAAATTTATTTCACTTAAAAAACTGAGTGTAAAAATAGTTTATAAGTTAGACTAAAAATCCCTTCCCAGTTCCTATCCTTTTAACTTTAGGTTAAATCGTAAACGGATTCTCCTTTCACTTCTTCCAAAATAGATTTCCACTTTGGCTCAATATAGATTTATCGATACGCAATGGTTCAAGCAAACAGAAGAAAAAAAAAACTAGCTTTTGACTGCTTGAATAGTAAATTTTATGTACTACACAGATTGTCTATTTTTGTTGAGACATTAGCTTCCATTATATACACAATGGATTATTTTTTTATGTTTTAGTTCAGAAACTACTAACCGCTTTGATGTTCGAACAGAATTGATTCAAACATATATATATATTGTACAACAAGTATAATATGCTACAGGTATAATATTGTCATAACTTAGAATTACAACCTAGATAATCACTCCTCTAAAGAATAAATAACTTTAACAACGACAAAACCTGTTTAGGTTTCCCAAACCAATATACACTGAATATGAAGAATTAAAGATTTCTCAGTATTCAAAAAATCAATCACTAACCCAAAGAATTGCTTTTCCTATACACTTTTCTACAGGCTGTGAGCAAGGTGACCAAATTTATGAAGCAGGTAGCTTGATTTATTCTGGGCTGCTTCTTTTTCATTCTGAAAAATCTAACCTTCCCCATTTCCTGCAGTGTATCTTCTCTCTTTTGAAGAAGTGTGATTATCTTCAACTGCTGTATAATTTAACTAATTTTTCTAACAGCTCGTGGTTGTTGCCTGGAATTTCTTTCACCCTTGATCCATTCTTGTATATTTTAAAGGCCGGGATGCAGTTCACATCTTCTGATTTTGCCAAATAGGGGTGGTCTTCAATCTCCACCTGAAAATGTAAATCACTAATGAGTATGAGACAATGTAATTCTTTTGTTTTTTCAATCCACAATACAGGTATTTGTTTTGTAAAACTTTGTTTTGCTCCTACATAAAGATGCTATGCTGTTTTCTGACATGCTTTTCCATGTTAATACCACGCTAACAGTCCTTTAGAGAGAGTTCAGGATTTTCTATTTCAACTTTCCAGTGAACAATACCACAAACTGCAAGGCCTAGAGCATTCAAAATTACCCACCTTAAGAAAATTAACTGACGGAAATCTCTTGCAGGTTTGCTCCAACACCAACAACACTTGTTTATGGGTTGCCTTGTTGCAAAACAGCACCACAGACATCCCTGTTCAAATTGTCCACATCTGATCAGAATTTGTTATTCGTAATGCCAAATGAACTAAAACAAAAAAATAATCCATTGTGTATATAATGGAAGCTAATGTCTCAACAAAAATAGACAATCTGTGTAGTACATAAAATTTAGGCTTAATACCTGTTTTTGTCCCTCTTTATAAAGGAAATGTTCAATTTCGTCCTACCTTTTTCAAAAAGTTCAATATGGGTCCCACGTTGTGAAAAAAGTGTCAAGTTA